ACGCTCTTACACGACCGAGTGAATTCATTTAACATGGCTCTGACACCATCAAGAAGTGGCAACGAGATGTTCCTGGTGACAAAGTAACCTTTCCCTCCATCATCGTATTCACAAGGAAGCTCCCCGATATAACCAGCGGGAGAAAAGCTTGAAAAATTCCGGCAGTCGTGATACAACGTTAGCACCTCGGTGCCGGGAAGGTATCCGAGGAAGATCTCGTTAAATAGCGAGACATTGACAAGGTTGCTCGGACACAGAGTGTTGAGATAATCTGTTCTTGCAAGCGTGATGGTACGAGACTCGAGGAAATCGACCTGCAGGATTCTGAGCTTGACCGATGATGATGTGTTGAACTCTGCGAAATCTCCGTCGCAGTCGACCTCGAAATCCGGGTGGCCACAGTCTTCTCTTCCCTTTCTCCAAAATGGGTACGAGAGTTCTGCCTGATTTCCGCACCTAAAAGGCTCGCTGCAGAGTCTGTGGCGCTCTTCAAGTGACAGAACACATGAAGGGATCACAAATATTACAAGTAGAATAACGTAGTACATGGAACTCATGGTACTCTTTTTTGTCTTTTGGGGCTTGTGAAGATGAAGGAGAGTACGGGGAAAGGATAAGAGATTGACAAGATTCATACTTTTCTAGTTCTTGAGCATTGGTCAATGACTCTGCACTTATTTTTCTTTGTAAAAAAATAAAATTGTAGTACCAAGAAATAACTCGGAAAGTGAGGCGAAGACAGAAGCATCCCAGAAAATGGGGTTTGAAAGTAACCAAACAGATCTCCAAATGTCTCCATCGATTAATCCTCTGTGATTTGACCGTTAGATAGAAAAAAGTCGAGAGGAGAAATGTCAAAGTCGTCTTCCCTAAACCAAATTGCCCATTGGGATGACTTGTTGGATAGTTAGAAAAAAAAATAATGATTTTCTACAAAGTATAATTATATACTCAACATATAATTATTTTTATGTAAATAGAAATTATACGCGGTTTTTATAAGGAAAAAACATGAAGTGAATATTTTTTTTTATGAAAGAAATATAAACTTAAAAAAAAAAAGTAATCTCAAGTTTTGAAAACCTTTTCGACGAGAAGTTCCTTATAGGTTTAAGTTGGTTCAAATGTTAAATGGTGGGACAAAACCTCTTTTCAATATAGGTTTAAGTTTCTATTCGGCAAGGAGAAGAGTATTGGGCTTGACCTTTCATATTCGTCATGGGTCGTAATGGGCTTTTTTCAATTGGCCCACTTGGATTTGTTTAAGCCATATTATATATTTTTTAAAATTCCAAAGAAAAACTATACCTTGAATTTTTTTGAAGTCCTAAAATATCTTAAATTATTAAATTAGACAAAAATAAAATAAATTTTTGAATTTTTACCAAAAAAACTTGAGTGAAATTAAACAGTGTTAATTAAAAATAAATAATGTTTTTAATATGCATACGTATATAAACATAAATATATGCATACATACATATACTTCTCTGATGCTGAGCTGATTAAAATATAATAACTGTAAGGATGGAAATCATATATAACGAAAATAATAAATTAAAAAATAGCCCAATGGAATTAGAACCGAAATCATTGGTTTCAATACTATTTTCAAACCAAAACCCAAACGAATTTGAACGAGTCAGATTTCTCCGGTTTTCCAATTTTGTAGGCTGGTAGTGGGTTTGAAATGATTGGACCAGTCCGGTTCCTTTGACAATCCAATCATACGTTTTTGCGTTGTTTTTCTTATTTCCACTACGGTCCATGTACTTATTTTCCTTCTCAGTTTTGCCGCATTTATTTATTTTCTATCAATTATCACCCATTTTATTCCTAGAATTAAAAACTGAAAAACAATTACAAAAAAAGCAAAAATATCATCTAATTAAAGCAGTAACAAATGAAATTGGATTCTTTTTTTTTTTGTCCATAATTCTTTGGAAAAATAAATAAATTCTAATTCCCAAAACTTGACACGTGCAAGGTCATGAAGATTCATGACTCTGCCTCATTTTCTCCGATCTTTCCCACCGGAAAAACCAGAACCGAAGCAAAACATGTCGGCCAATGGGACATTCAACGCGTGATTTCTCGTCGTTTTCGAAGCCCTCTCTGTAGAGTTCGTCTTCTGCAAGCTCTTCTTCTTCTTCTTCTCATCAAAGTTTTCATAATCCGACACGAACGTTGAAGAACCGTTCTTCATTTTCTTCCTCAGACAATATCCGACAGATTTGCTCCGCGTAAGCCAAGACCCACGTCCAGAATTCAGATTCTCTGCGCCAGAATGTTGTCTGATACACTTTTTGTCGGAACTAATCTGGGTCTTGAGATTGTTACTCTCAGGTTCGATGTTCTTCGTGAAGCCGCGAGGGAGGAGTTTCCCGTCGGAGAAGAGCTCGTCGGCGTGCGAGAATCGTTGCTTCGAGTTCTGTCGGAATCGGAAATCGAATTCTGGGCACGATGAGGTTGATCGGAGAGGTACTTTTTCTTCCGAGTGACGATGGTCGCGGTTCATCACGGGATTTTTTTTTTTTTATTTTTTGTTTACCAGTGTCTTGAATCTTGATAACTACTTGGGAGGTAACTAATGAGAGGTAACATAGTAAATATATATACAAATAACTTTATATGTATGGTACCACAATATGATATATGTATGTATATATATATATACTGGAATTACACCACAATATATTTGAATAACAATATTTTATTTTTTAGTCATTATTACAAGAAAAAAATAAGATAATGTTGTTGACCTCTGCGTTGATAAGATGGATCGGGAGTCAATAAAAATGTAAAGCAGAAGTATAAGATTAATAAATACATATAATATATGTATATATATGTATATGCTTTAACAAAGCTGGGTAGAAAATTTAAGTGAAATAGTTGAAAATTTTATGAATAAAGAGATTGTCCAACTTCTCTGTCTTTTAAATTATTTTATTGTTAGTGTTTTTTATTATTAGTATTATTATTGATTAGATTATGTAATTTTATAATTCATAAAGTAATTTTTTTTTCAAGTGAAATTTAAAAGAGGAGAGAGAGAGATCAAACTTGGAATTCATGGTTTTGATTTATTGGTTTTAGGAAAGACTTTGGACTTTGATGGTTGACTCCACATTTCCAAATCGTTGAACTTCCAATTGTTGGAGGTAAGAATAAATTTGCACATCAATTACTCAAATATTTATGGACATAGAATCGTATGTTGAAATTAATTTCTTAATAAATACAATATGTTATCTCGTTTATAATTAATTTCTATATTATTAAAATAATAAGAGTAGGGGTGTAAAATGGGCGGGTCGGGCCGGGTTCGGGCCGGGTTCAATTCGGGCCTAGAATTTTTCGGGTCGGGCCGGCCCGCCCATTTATTTTTCGGGTCTAGAATCGATGGCCCGGAGCCCGGTCCTACAGGGCTTCGGGCGGGTTCGGGCCGGACTTCGGGCTTTTTATTAAATAATTTTTTTTGCAATAATAATAATAATAATAATAATAATAATAATATGAAACATTCAACAAAAATATTTTTAAAACCGATAACAACAAAGTCA